GAACCAATGCTGAACACTAAGCACCCGGCGGTAAATACTCTTCTTCCACAAATATCCACACATGTATCCGCACAGGAGGCCAAGTATCAAGTCACGGTAAACAGTAGGCAAGGGGACCGAAAAGCAGCAGGGAACAAGGGGCCTCATGGGAAACCAACCAAACAGGGGAAAATAAGAAGACAATGGGATAGGAGAAAAGGCAAAATTATAACTCATTTTAATGAGCTAATGAAGAATTACTTTCAACATTAATGAAGCTAAATCACTCAGAATTAATGGGCTAGACTTAAGTGAACACCATTTTTAAGCTCAAAACCAGAGGCCAAAGCCAATCGAGAACAGCATGTCAACACAGAGGCAAAATACAGCCCAAAGCTTGCCTACATAATTCTCTCCAGTTGAAAGAACTCATCGTCCTGATGAAGTTGAGTTTGTTATGAACTTGTTCCTGGGGCTTCCGAAGATGATTGCATGGATGGACTCAGACTGCAAAAACAAACTTCTACTGACACCAAGACACCACGAAACCGGGATATACTAACTGGCTCTGATACCAAATTGATGCAAGCTACAAAATCTAATTTTTCCAGATATAGAAACTTATCATGAACTCACAAAACTGACAAATTAAAACAGAAAAAATAAACTTTTTATAAAGATGAAAATACTATTACAACTTGGAACAAACACCTTACAAATTTGACAACATAAGCACAAATAAAGACACGTAAGGAGCTTTCCAATCGTTGAGAAGAATGATTACATGTGGGGGGATAACTTGCGGGAAGAAGAATGAGATATAAGAAGCCAAGCGAAGGAGTAGGAGTAATCGCAAGTTATCCCAAGCCTAGAGAAGAAAATAAGAAGTGACAGAGCTCTGAAGCCTTATTCCAAACCAACCTGCAGAGTTACATTCAAAATAAATATAACCTTCTTAACCAACCTTTTTATGCTCAAAACATTCCTTAATATATAGGCAAAAAGGGGAGCCAAACAGCACACTAAAACACATTTAATATTTTAATTAAAGAGGGATATACGCAAGCCAAAAGCACAAAACTGCTGCAGGACCAAACTAAAAAAGAGAAAATTAATATGGAATTCCCCCCCCCCAAAGCAGCACGGAAAACAGCCAGCAAGGGACTAAAAAGATAAAGGTTGTATCAAGTCACGGTAAACAGCCAACAGGGGACCGAACAAGCCAGCACAGGAGAAAAGGGCAATCAACGGGAAACAACAAGGGGAAAATAAGAACGAAAGGAGGAGAAAGGCACAAATTATAACTCATTTTATAGCTAAATAAGAAGAATACCTTTTCCAAAATTAAGAGCTAAACATCACTCAAGAATAATGAGCTAGACCTTGAAGTAGAACGCAATTTTTAAGATACAAACCAAGCAGCCAAACATCAGAACCAGATGTAATAAAGAGGGCAGAAAACAGCCCAAAGTTATGTAACATTAGAAGCTATATGCTGAGTGAAGTGATATTTATATTTAAAATTGCACTACAACTATTTCAGATTGAAAGAACGTGCATAAAATATACCAGACTTAAGAGGATAGATATAATAGTTTTACCCATTAGTCCAATCATCGCTGGCTTTTTTAGTTTGCATTTTTCTTCCCGGGATGAAGATGAGGTGAGCCTAGGTCTGAAACCGTCTGCAGGCTGTGGAAAATGTTGCAGTTATCCGCCATCTAACATTAGTAATATATAGTAAATCAGATGGGTACTCGCTATGAGAATGTTTAACAATAGATGAAAGGATGGTTATAAATGTCAATTTGAAAAGAGAACAAAAGATTTTAGTAAATGCGATCTTATCAGTCCAAGTAGAAAATTCACATTGGGCAATGACATCTGGTAAGTGTTGAAGTTAAGGATCTAAATTTTTGAAATGCGATTTTAAGCTGCGAGTCAACGTTATGTAACATTCATATGGTATTGAAAGGGGGTAGAGAGCACCCACAAGAGGTCTGATGATAGCAGAAAAGTTTTAATAAGTTAATGGGTTATTATTTCAATAAGGGATTTTGAGAACTTTGTTCATATTTTTTCGATAGCACTAATTTTTTTCTTTTAAAGATGGGCACATTAATATATTAGTAGTATGAGAAGATGGAATACTCTCTCAATTTAATATAGCTGGAAATTATCGAGTGGCAAAAAAATAAACATCGTTAATTGTGGGATTAGATATATATATATATAATATTTATTTTATATATTATATATTATATATATTTTATATATATATATATATATATAATATATATATAATATATGATATTATATTGATATATCCTTTTTTTTTGGTGTGTTTTTGTGTTATAATTTTTTTCTATTTTATGCCTCTTTACCACCATCGGGGTCGATTTGAATTTAGTTTCACTTATTTTCTCAGCAATAGTATGTAATTAGTTTAACAAATAGCATTATGTAATTAACAAGAAAGAATAATATTTCTCAAAAACCTCATAGCATCAATTAAAATATTTATTATTTTCATCTGCACGATTTACATAAAAGAATATGAATTACGTAACTAGCAATCCACCATACTATGAAACAGAAAGAGCTTGACCAATAAGCTACTGTGACAGGTCCAAAATAACAAAGCAATATGAAAATGGTGCATAAAAGCAATTACTAAAAGGAATAGGGGAATTTACAAGCATGCTATGCAGTGGTCCAACTTTGGATGATGATTTCTGTTGATCTTTCTCAATTTTAAATGAAGTACGGCTACTCAATATTAAGGATTATAAAGTCTACACTTGATTCTTATAATGCTTAGTTCTTTAAGATAGATCTTTTATGCTTTTTGCAAGAAATAAACAAATTTTATAACACGCTTTTGAAGGCGTCGCGACCGAAGGTTATGTAAATGGATTGAAAGTGAACAAGAAGGAATTAAGAAGGTAGGAATCTACTATATGAAATATATATAATGGAAGTAGCAACACAGATTTGAACATTAGACATTACAGTTCTTCTTTCACTTATGATGTTTGTGTTGATTTTTCTTCTTTCTTCTTGCTTCCAGCATTTCCTTCGCTATCATCATCAACTACATTCTTCTTCTAGTTTCATAATCTCTGCATTGCCTTTATTTAAAAATATTAACCCTTCCTTGCTCACTTAGATGCTTAGGGAGAGAGAGTATAGATTGGGTGAGAGCAATAGAAGAGGGGAGGAGGGGGTGAGAAATGAGAGGGAGAAGAGGGTGAAGAAAAGATAGATGACTAATCAGTAGAAATGCTTTGGAATTATTTCATTCAGGATCATAAGACATAATAAAGTTAAGTTTATAGATCGAAAAATTTAACGCATAGTTAAATGTAATCTGAAGATGCTAAAATTACGAAATTGAGGATTATTTCATATTTCAAGAAATCCCCGTGTAAGATTGGATTTAATTTGCAAAGTACATATCATTAGACTCCATTATTTTAAAAACATATTTATGCCTTTTCTTATTTTGGAATTTGAAATCCTGTTGATTTCTTGCGTTGAAAAGTTTCTGCATGAAGA